TACAGAGATATTTATACATGTTGAATAATTAATAAAATAAACTAAACTAAATATATCAAAGGAAATAAAGTTGCTATTTCACTAGGCAATAAAGTTGCTGTATCAATAAAATTGCCAGATCTGCAGACAACTAAATGGACATCTATGATCTACGTGATTATCAAAGGCAATAAAATTGACATCTAATGATTTATATAATTGATCGATAGCAACAAAATGGACAAATTGATTTTCATAAAAGATCTACATGGCAATAAAATTGACTTCATATTCTACTAATTAAATCTATCTAAAATTTTATCTATTACACTGTTGTCTTTTTCTTTTCATTCCATTTACTTTCTAGTGATTTTTTATAAAGTTCATCATCTGAGATGATTTGGACTGATTGTGTTTGTATTTGTTATAGCTTCTTTTAGTTAATCAGAAATTTATGTAAATGAAATATTAGGAACATAAAATATGAAACAATCTAAATGTTAATGAAAATTACTGATCCATTTACTGATACTTATACTTCTTTGAGTTTTTGTAGTGTATATCATTTTTACCTTTTCTTTCTTGACTTTTAGAATGACTTTTATTACGGTGATGGTCAGAAGAATCTGTAGCTTTCATTTTACCTTTACTATACCTAAATATGTTATTAGAAATAAAAAAATAAATAAAAGAGAATGTTTATTGAAGTTTGTTGAGATAAAAGAAGTTTGTTAAGATCAATCTAAAGATGATTAAACAGAATTCTTTTATATGATTTTAAATATTAGACATAAAAGTTAAACAATAATTATCATATGATGAAACAATCAAGCTTTATTATAAAGAATTATAATAATTATCATATGATGAAATCAAGCATTTATTATTACAATAATTATCATATGATAAAACAATCAAGCTTTAATGCTAATTGGTTATATATAATAGTATTTTTAGTGATCAATCATTTTAATTATTTTAATAGTATTTTTGATATACTAATTCAAAGGCTATTTTAATATTTTATTTTTTTTCAAATAATAATATAAATATTTGTTCATTAATTGAATAATAAATATATTTCATAAATTTGATAATTCTTGTTTTGCTATATATCAATATTATGATATTATTTTGATCAAAATAAATCAAACAATAGTATAAATAAATTAACATCGAAGAAAATTGCTGATCATTCTTACCAGTATTACTAAAACTTATAAATAATTTTAGCTGAAATTATAAAATCCGTTAAAGGTTAATAATATATATATATGCTTAATATATTATAATGTATATACTTCTTTCTTATACTCTCTATTGTCATAAAAATGTCTAAAGAATTTACAAGCAAACATCCTAATAGAGAACAATTAACTATATTAATGACTACCAAAACTATTAAAGTAAGATCTAAAGTACGATGTAATTGTAAAAAGTGTGATAATAACTGGATTGATTAAAAAACTCATAACAAATATTATACAGTAAAAGAAAGATTGTGATTAGAGAAATCTGAATCAAAAAAATCTGACAAAAAAAAAAAAAAGTGGCATCACATCAAAGATCTAAGATTAAGAATCCCTTCTAGTTCTATATCAGTAAAATATCGATTAGTTACTTCTAAATCTCTTCAAAAAGAAAATCTTAGTAAGAATATTCAAATGCTTGATCATGATTTAGCTTTATTCAGTGACAATAAGCAACATATTTTTGATATAAAACTGGAACCTGTTATAACAAAAAGACGAAGATATGATCAGTTTCGTCAAGTAAACAATATTGGAATCAATCAGAATAAAGAATCTGAATAATCTTCTTATTTAACTAGTAATAAAGAAGGTATTCTCTACTTGGATGTTGATGAACAGTTAATGAATGATATTAAACAAATATTAAATGATGATGATAATACTCTGATGAACAGTATACTCCTTTCGATCATGATGATATAGATACCAATTCAGATCTTGAATACCTTAAAATAAATATTAAGTTTGATGAATTATGGATTCTTCTTTGGATATTCAAATATCAAAAAAGATTCTGAATTTTTATTAATGCTTTAATAAAGTTCTTTAAATATATTTTAATGGATGCTGATCGAATACAGTTCCAAGAGTTACTAGCAACATCTTACATGATACAGAAATTATTAGGAATCAAGAAACAATCTAAGACATACACAATATGTTCTAATTGTAATAAATTGTTTAAAATGTCAGATATTATTTCATCAACTTCATCAAAAAACTAGCAATCAGGATTCAAATGCGATTATGTTGAGATTTTAAACTATCTAATGAAAATCTAACGTAAATACTGCAGAACTGAACTCCTAAAAAAGATCCTAACTGTCAAAAATATATGTGATGTTCAAAAATAGTATATACCTTACTGTGTTTGAAAATACAATTAATTACAATGTTTCAGAGATCAGAATTTGAAGAACTTCTTAGATAGTAAATGAATTAGAATATTAGAACTGGTTTAATGTTAGATATATACGACAGTGAGGTTTAAAAAACATTTTTGTCACACTTAGATATTTTTAATACATCTTGATTTTTCACAAAGAAAACGGTAGGCTCATATTTAAGAATTATAGTTAACCTCGATTAGTTCTAACCTTTCGAGTTATCAGCATATAGTTGTTGAATGATTTACAGTGTAATATGTAATCTCCCCTAGAATATTAGGTTTAAAAGGGAGAATATGCTTACGTTAGATTTATTACCAGGATCTAATGAACTAAAATTGCACTGAATCAATAATTATCTTAAACCTATCATTAATGTATTATTGAAAATGTGAAATAGTTTCGATTTACCAGTATTATCCATCCATCCAGCTGGAAAAAAAATTTGTATAGCAGTTATTTGTTACTCCAATGATATTCTAGCCACAAGAAAGTTATGTGGCAATATCTCTGCATTAGTTGATTACCATAGATATTATAAACGGGTAAGTGGTAATAATGGTAATAGAGCAAATTTTGGTAGATTTAACAATATGAATGAATGGTTTAAAAATCAGAACTCTATCAATCATCGGCAAAATGCTGAAGTATAACTACAATATAAAATTAATGATAAAAGGAAGCATCATATTTTAACCACTCATGTTAGATAGTCAGAAATGCTTAGATTACTGTATTTTGATTCTATCAGATTTTTGATAATTGATCCTATGCACTGTTTGTTTTTGGGAATTTCTCTTGAATTGTCAAAAGATTGTAGATTGATATTGGTAAAATCACTAAATCCAACTTGGAGTTTATGGAAAAATAGGCAAAAAACATTAATTACTAGCAAATCTTGGTAGAATACCATATAAATTAGCAATAAGCGAAGGATTTTCTGACTTTATAGCAGATCAATGGAAATCCTTTAACATGATTTATGCTACTCCTTTAATATGGAATATATTATCAAAATCTGATTAAACTATTTTGGCAAACTTTGTCAAAGGATGCTTTTTGTTAGTATCGCGTATTATTAATAATAATGCATTAAATGAAGCACACTCTCAATTGCTATTTGTTACACATTTGATCAAAGAAAATTATGGACTGGATGCAATTACTTCAAATATCCACTTATCACTTCATCTTGCTAATTGTTGCCATGATTACAATCTATTATACTTATTTTGGTATTATTCATTCAAAAGAATGAATGAAATATTAGGTAAACTATTAATTCAATTATTATTAAATTATTAATTATTGCTAATAAATAATGAAATAATTTATTAATTGTAAACTAATATTTATTTTAATATTTGTTTGTTTATTTTTTAGGATCTTATTCCAACTCTAATCGTCAAATTGAGCTAGAGCTTTTGCATATAATTATGTTAAACTGACATTTAGATGATCTATTATCTACCCAATTGGATAATATAAAGCTTAAGGAGGGATTAAAGTTAATACAACCCTGGCCAACTGTTGATAGTCTAGCTGCATATGAAAATGAAACTGGCAGAAACTAACAGACCTCTCGAATATGACATTGTTAGTGATAATCCGTTTGCGCAACTAAATGACTGCGCCAACTAGCGTCACCAATGATCACCAGGAAAATCG